GGAACTGGATGGGTGGAAGCTGCCAGCGTGGCAGTGGGAGATTGGACCGTGTGATGGACTTGTGGGTATGGGGGCAGGATCTTGAACTTTTAACCGGGTGGGGGAAACCTGGAAGCTTTCAGATTCAGGTTTCCCCAGATGTGCCAACATGTCATAAATTGGAACTTTGAGCAATACTTTGCCTTGGACTCTGATTTATTTTTACGGTGGGTCATTTCCCCTTCTTAGGGGGAGAATTCCAGATGTTTCCATTCTCAGTTGTGGCTTCGTTTGGTACTTTGGCAACTTGAAAACAAGAGAGAGAGGAATGGCAGGTGGAAGGGAGGGGTGGGAATTGCAAAAAGCAGAAGAAAAAATTCAAACAGCGATGACTACCAGCTTTGCAATGGCCTGTACGGGATTTAAAAATAACTGGGTTTTTGTAAAACATTATTTTTATTATACAGGTAGGCCGCGACTTACAATCCCCCCCCCAACGGAGCTCCAAATTTCTGTTGTTACGTGAGACGTTTGTTAAGTGAGTTTTGGCCCCCGTCACAGTTGTTAAGTGGATCACTGCAGGTGGTAAGCTAACAACCTAGTTCTTAAGTGAATCCGGTTTTCTCCATTGACTTGGCTGGTCAGAAGGTCACCATAGATGACCGATGACCTTGGGGGGGGACACAGCAAAGGTCGTAAGCACGAACCAGTTGCCAAGCACCTGATTTTGGATCACACGATCCTGGGGGATGCTTCCAAGGTCATTAAGGTCCGAAGTCCCCTTTTCTCCAGTGCCGTCGTAACTTTGAACAGTCGCTAAATGAGTTGTAGGTCGAGGACTCCTTAGCTTTGGCGATCCTGCCTTACCTAAGAAACAAACAGTTTGGCTTGGTGAATGAGTATTATTCACTTTTGAGGGCGGTGTGTGTGTGAGAGAGAGAGAGGTCTGTGGATGATGGGTTTTTTTTAGTCCTTAAGCATCTGGATCGCGCCGCCGTCTGGAGGTCTCGCGGGTTGGGGATGATGGGAGAGGCAGAAGAGCCCATCTCCAGGGGAAAGAGGCTGTCATGGCTGGGGATAATGGGAGCTGCAGAAAAGGGCTTGGGACAATGGGGCCTGTAGGAGGAAGGGAAGAAGGGCAAGCGGGCTGGGGATGATGGGAGGTGCAGTTGCATAAGTCCGGAAGTCGATAGGAAGAAAGGAAGGGGTTGAGATGCTGGGAGAAAAGGAAGGGAGCATGTTGGCTGGGGATGATGGGCGGCTGGGAACCATGCCCAACCCCATCTGGGGAAGGCTAGGAGGAAGGCGGTGGGGACGATGGGCTCTGGAGTACTACTCGAGGCCCTACAGGGGATCCTGCCTCCCCCCCACCCCTCCACTGCCAAGCAGGAACCCCGGATTTCTGCCTCCCTCCCGCCGAGAGACCCGGGGAGGCCTGGCAGCAGGAGAGCCGCAGGGAGAGTTACCGTCCTGGGCCGCCTTCGGCCGGGGGCTCCGTCCTGCCGCCGCCGCCGCCGCCACCACNGGAATTCTTTCCAACCTCTTAAAAATACTCTTAGTCATATGACCAGCAAGGAAGAGAGAGGATGGTTTAGAATGGAAGCATCTGTGATAGTCTCAAGAATATGAATTGGTGGGACTTTTTCCTTCCGAGCCTCTGGTAGAACCTGGCCCATGATAAACCTAAACTTATTTTTGGAGGCTTCTTCACCTCATACCAAAATCTAGTTCCATTCTAGTTTTAGAAAGTTGTTCTTCAGCTGGACAGAATCCAATATCCCGTGACATATTTCTCTTTCCAATGTACTGCTGGAAGGAATTTTTTTTTTAAAAAAGATTTTCAGCCAATCAACAAATATGTTGATGAAAACAACCTTGTTGATAACTCGGTTGAGCAACAGTGTTACCTTTTGATTCATTGGTTGTAGTGTGGATTGAATTGATTATGTTTGTGTTAATGAATTTTTTTCCTCATTCATGATTTAGGAGTTGATGAAGACGGCATCATCAATATTTTGACCAAAAGAACCAATAGCCAACGACAACAGATCAAAGGGGCTTATCAACAGGCACATGGCAAGGTAACTTCCTTAGTACATACCTTGCACAGATACCTTTCACGTTTAGCATATTTAACATATTATGTATGATTAAATCAGTCTTTCTCAAACTTGGCAATTTTAAGAGGTGTGGAATTCAACTCCCAGAGTTCAGAGGTATACTGGCTGGGGAATTTTAGGAGTTGAAGTCCACCCATCTTAAAATTGTCAGGTTTTAGAAAGAACGGCTGAGATGAATAAATAAAATATTAAATTCATTACCATGTTGATGGTTGGAACATGATTTCTAAAAACAGGCTGCATAAAGCACACTAGCTTTTTAATATTGGTGGGAGGGGAAGTATAGCTTCCAGTTGACCTTCATGGTTCTGATTCAGGTTTGAGGAGCTTCATTGTAGAAAATAGAATAATAGAGAGGAAAGGATTTTGGAAGTCTTCTAGTCCAGCATTCTCCTCAAGCAGGACGTGCTATACCCATGGTGGCAAACCTACAGCACACATGCCACAGGTGGCATGTGGAGCTATATCTGCTGACACACGAGTTGTCAGATCCAGCATGAACGCGCATGCCGGCCAGTTGATTTTTGGCTTTCCGGAGGGCTGGGGGAGGCCGTTTTCACCCTCCCCAGGCTCCNATCTCCATTTGTGACCTAGCCCAGCTGGCTTCTAACAAACAAAATCAGTGGAGGAAGCCAGATTCGGATAATGCCTGTGTGATTTACTCCGTAATCATGGCAAAAAGATCATAAAATCAGAGAAAACTCACTTAACATAAGTGTTATTTATCAACAGAAGTTCTGGTCCCAAATTTGGTGGTAAATTCAAGGACTGCTTATAGAAATGATGCTGATACATACTCTTGGTATGATCTAAATAGCCAAAGCTTCCTTGGAGAATCAAAATATAAATTCTACACTGAATCAACTGCAATTTGTATATATCTGTTAAATATATAAAAAAGGGAAACTATATATTATGTAGCGAAAAGCCTGGGAGATCATCCTGAAATCATCCTGAATATCAGTTGTAACAGATTAGCCTACCTTACAATAAGCTTATGCAAGCATTTGTCTATATGTTGAACTATAAATCATGCAGTATATTGCAATAACTTATCAAGGCATTTCGACAGTTAAATGCCATTGCCTTCAAGGCATCCCCAAGAACATTACACAACATTTATTCCCCGACCTTCAGCAGTTTCTGCATTAGCTCAGAACTCAGTTTCTTTAAGCGAGTGGATAATAGTTTGTTTGCAAGGCTTGTCTTTTGACTAAGTCCTGTATTTAGCCTTCCAAGCAACCAATCACGGGGCTCTTAGTAGTAAGCACTGGTTGTTAGGTGTGGCTTCCTGATGGGTCTATAAAAGTAGGAACCACAACTTAAAAGTTTTCCACAGACTCATTTCTCAGCTTGGAAAATATTGTTTTTGAGTTTTGGAAAAGGAAAAGGTATGACTCTTTTGATATTTGTCCTTTGCTGATAGTTTTAGAAGTATGTAGCTTCTTATTTACTCTGGAGTATAACCTACTTGAATTTATTTCTAAGTCAATGTAGAACTATAAGACTATTCATGTAAGTTTATATCTGTTTCTCTTGTCTGTATTTTCCAGTAAGGGAGTAGAAGGCATTTAAAACTGCATAAACTGCATGGAGTTTTAATTGTTTGTAACAGTAGGTAGCTTAATTCTAAATAACTGTGCATTTTTTCCCTCTTCCTGTTCTTTTCCGTTACCATGGAAAGCAGAGTTATTTTTATCTGCCAAAGTATGAGTTAAGAGAGAAAAAATGCGCCCAGTGCCCTATGTGGAAAGTTTTCTTTTAAAAAAAAAACATACATGCTGTGGTTAAGGAAAGCTTGCTTAACCGTTTCTCAATTGTTAAATGTTTATTCCTTTGCACCAAAAATAAAATATGACTTTTTTTTTCAAAAAGGCAACTGCATTTTATTAAGTTTTTGTTGTTAATTATTTTTAATATAGGAATGTAAGAACTGTAGAATGTCATTCAGAGTCTTTTTATTTTTCATAAGTATATTCAGAAGTAGATACTGCTTTTTCTTCCTTGTTAAGAGTTTTTTCAGGAATTTGTGGGGGGGGGAGGCAGAGGGTGGGGGAGACAGGTTTTTCCAGTTTCTGCTGCCTCTGGCCATCAAAGAAGAGTGACCTGAGAATTAATGTGTCCTGAGTAATGACAGGGAAAATATAATGTCCCTTCATTTGGAATGGACTTGTATACCCAGCTGCATCTGAAATGCACTTATTAATGAGATGGAATTCAGTACTTGAATTGAATTGAATTTATTATATTTCTATGCCGCCCTTTTCCCCGAAGGGGACTCAGGGCGGCTCATAATCCAAGTCAAGGAGGGGGGTACAAATAAGGAATAAAAATGACGAACAGAACAATACACAATTTAAAAGCACACAACAACCATACCATTCGAGGGGGGACAAAAGCTCATTAGTCCCAGGCCTGTCGGAACAGCCAGGTTTTAAGGGCTTTGCGGAAGGCCTGGAGGGGTAAATTCTGA